AAGATGACATCAAATTAATGACAGGTATGATTATTCATACATCTGACTTCACTGGAGGAGCCAAACCATTTAATTTGAGTAGGGAATGGAGCACAAGAGTGAATATGGAATTCTAGGAACAATATAATTTGGAAGGTAAATTTGGATATCCTCAATTGCCATACATGAAAGATTTAGATTAAGTATGAAAATTATAATGTTAGTAACCAATTATGGCCAAGTCTGAAGTCGGATTTTTTAAATTCATTGTACGACCACTTTGGTCTATCATGTCAAAGTTTGCTGAAGACAGGTTGCAAAAAAGTGTTGAAAATCTTGAATAAACTATTTTAGAATGGGAGAAATTGATGAATAATTGATAAAATTTATTATGTTATAAGAATTCTTTTTTATATTTTGATTTTAAATATTTTTTTTATTGTTATTTATCATTATTTCATAGCAAGACCAGCTTCTGGAATGAAGACTTCTAAGATACTCTTCAATTCAGCATCATCTTGTTTGCTCAATTCACCAGTACTATAATTATCAACAATTTTAATACCTTCTAATTCTTTCTAACATAGCTGGGTAATTTGTTCTGAGATGAGTGAGGAATTTCTCTTCGAATTTAGCGATTTCTGAAGTTTATACTTTATCCAAAAATCCTCTGACACCAGCATAAATAACACAAACTTATTCTTCAGCACACATTGGGACCTAAAATATGATTGCCATAATAGCATACGTATTATTTTTATTTAAGCAATTCGGTTAATTAGGCACCTCTGTTTAATAATTATTATGTGGCAGCATCCAAATCTGAACCAAATTGGGCAAATGCAGCGACTTCTCTGTATTAAGCCAATTCTAACTTAAGTCTACCAGCGACTGTCTTCATAGCTTTAATTTAAGCAGCTGATCCGACTCTTGACACTGACAAACCGACATTGATAGCTGGTCTAATACCCTAAAATAAATATAGAATTTAAAGATATACCTTGAAGAACAATTCTGTTTCCAAGAAAATTTATCCGTCGGTAATAGAAATAACGTTGGTTGGAATATAGGCTGAGACATCACCAGCTTATGTTTCAATAACTGGTAAGGCAGTTAATGATCCATTTCCATTTTCAGCATTGAGTTTAGCTGCTCTTTCCAACAATCTGGAGTGCAAATAGAAGACATCACCTGGATAGGCTTCTCTGCCTGGTGGTCTTCTCAACAACAATGACATTTATCTATAAGCAACGGCTTATTTAGAAAGATCGTCATAAATAATAAGAGCATGCATTCCATTGTCTCTGAAATATTCTCCGATAGCACATCCAGAATATGGTGCTAAATATTAAAGTGGAGCAGCTTCTGAGGCTGTGGCTGCAACCACGATTGTGTATTTCATAGCACCAGCTTAGGTGAGAATCTTGACCAAGTTAGCAACAGTTGATCTCTTTTAACCAATAGCAACGTAAATGCAATATAATTATTTATTCTTGTCACCAGAATCAAAATTTGGTTTTTAGTTGATGATTGTATCAATGGCAATAGCTGTCTTTCCTGTTTATCTATCACCAATAATCAATTCTCTTTGTCCTCTTCCAATTGGAACCAAACAATCAACAGCCTTCAATCCTGTTTACATTGGCTCATGGACACTCTTTCTTGGAATAATTCCTGGTGCTTTCAATTCAACTCTTCTTCTTGTGTTTGTTTTGACTGGACCATGTCCATCGATTGGGTTACCAAGAGCATCAAATACTCTACCCAACATTTCCATACCAATTGGGACATCGACAATTGCTCCTGTTCTTTTGACAATATCTCCTTCTTAGATTTCTCTAGAATTTATGAGTTTTAATCACATACCTGTCATTACCCAACACGACAATACCCACATTATCAGTTTCCAAATTCAAAGCCATACCTCTGACTCCTGAACTGAATTCAACCATTTCTCCTGCTTAAACTTATGTCAAACCAAAAACTCTGGCAATACCATCACCAATAGAGATGACTGTACCGTATTCTTTGATGTCATTCTAAATTATCACTACATTTTTTTACCAATTAGGAAATATTTTTAATTTTGTCTTCTAATACACTTGAGGCTTCTCCGATACCCAATTTCTTTGAGAATCCCATTGATGGTAAGTACCAAAGTGATTTTCTCAATACAGATGTGTACCCTCGTATCATAATTAATTTATTTAAATTAAATCTTCAAATCAAGAGCATAAATAGTTAATATATCAATCTTGCTTCCCTTCTTTCTAATCATAATGCACCAATATCTTAATTTGTGGAACCTAGAAGTTCAAATACGCCTAACTCTTCTCTTCTGGACTCAACTCTTCCCCACTCATATTCATAGATTAATATCTCCATCTTGTGTATTGTTTAGTCAAATCAGAGAACTCATTTAAAGCTACTTTTAAATATTTATATTTATTGTCTGACAAGATGATGGTTCTCTTTTTAGTAGGATTTCTATATTCGTTCCTTCTCTCAAAAATTATCTACTTCTCAGATGGAATCTCCTCCTTATCATCTTATCTCTACTCCTATATAATAATATTCTGACTCTCCTAATGATACTGATTCTTCTGAGCCAGCTTCTCCTTCAAACTCTCTAGACCAGTCAAATCTCTATGGACTGGAAACTACTTCAATTGAATCTTGACCTATTCTATGTTCATCATAAATCTTGTGTATTTCAAGTAAATGTAATCTGCCTAGTTATCATATCAAAACTATACAATTAACTATTTCTCCTCCTTTCTATTCTCGTAAAAACTAAAATTCTTCCTTGGCTTCGAGGCTATCAAATACTACTACTCAAACAGTTCCTCATCCATTACTGAAATCTTGTTATTTCGATATTGATGGCATATCCGATAGAGTAGAAAACTCATAAACACTGTCCTCACAGTCTTTGACCAATGGAGAAACAGTTCAAAACATATTGGCTCAAATAATAAGTCGATCACTGCCTTTCTGAACTCTATCGGGAATTTCAAAAAATTGGTGTAAATCAACTCCAAAACTGTTGCTATTGCTATAGCATGTTCTGATTATGTTAATACAATTCTAATCCCATTTAAAAAGAATGGGTAATCAAAAACTGTTAATGTTTAAGGGCATTAATTTATTATTAAACTCAATAAATCGAAAACCTATATGACCTAATCAGATTAATACAAACTAATTATAACTGTAGATCTTACTTAGTTTTATTGAATAATATCATTACAATAATGTTGATGATATTCGTATTTCTCGAAATTGCCATCACACAATCAAAAAATGATGTAGTATATGATTCTTTTAATTTCAACTCACAAAGAAAAGATTTCAATAATTGTTTATATCCAGGCACATGTTGCCATTGTATATTATTCTTCTACAGAATGTATTATATGTAAGTACAGAAATCCATAATAAAGTATTGATAAATTAAACTCCTCTTCTAGAAGGTTGACTTCCATTACTCATCTTACATGGTTTAATTTAATTAGTATTATTGGTTTTAAGAGAGATAGTTATAAAAGTACGTCTGCCAATCAAATATCATAGCTACTTATTCATTTATAAAAACATCTTATTCTTCTAATTAAAATTCATTCCCTCTCCATTCCACTAATTAAGGGTCATTAGGTTTATTGATGCATTTCAATAATTAATCCTTAAAGTTATAGATTCTTATAAATGCCAACACCAGGAATCTCATCATGAATTTTCTCTCATTTTACTATTGTGTTTTTAATGGAACCTTAAGAAGAACCCAATTTAATGTTTGGAGCATAAATTCCGAATAATGAAGATTCACTGAGTTTTTTAGTTCCAATTGCTTTTTGGACAACTACTTACATTCCTCAAAATATCCTAAAGAATGCAATCGAAATTCTCCTCTGTCAATTAATACCAATAAGATTTCATAGCAAACCTCCCTTAGATTATCATCCAATTTATCTATATATTTTGTTATCTGTTCTGCTATCTTAATAAAATATTCCTAAGCTTTAAATAAATCCTCCTAGTTTTTATAGTAGAATAATTTGGAATTGGTATCTTTGTCAGCTTTTTAAACTTCAACTAATAGTTGTTAGCTTATAGTCAAGGCCTGATGTTAGAGTATTGCTCTATTAGGATCATTATGACTTAACGATTGCATCTTAAACATAGATTCATACAACTTTTAAAAGATAGTAGTAATCTCTGCAATCTAAGCAACTGACTTAGAACTACAAATATTAACACCTAATGTGCAACCATTCTCGGTTCTGATACCTACTAATTTTTATTTAAGAAACCTGGGAAGTTTTACGTTAAACTTACACTGTATTGTACCTACTTTATTGCCTTTACACCATAAACTTTTAGTAACGGTAGTTTTGAATTACTGATACATTTGGAAGTCTTCTTCATCATCTTCTTAAATTAGTTTATGCAAGGCAATAAAGGTCTCCGCAAAGAGATTCTAATCAATAAAGACTTCTTTTTCATAT